TCCTGGAAACCCCTTTGACTTGTGAACTCTATCTAGCATCTCCACCCGCGCTTAGAGCCTCAGGACAGTGCAGAGGATGTGGCTGAGCAGAGGGCGAGCTGGGTCACTCCTGTGGGTCGCCGTGTGTTTATGTTACTAATGACGCAGCCTGACTCCAGACTGCACGTTTCCAGGGTTTGCCTGAGGATTTTCACACAGTTCCTCCTCCTACCCGCTGATGGACTTTCACTTTGTACGGAGAGAGGAACGCGCTTGGCTTTGAGCCAGGCCCGTCTGCGCACGTCGTGCAATCGTTTATTCTCAGGTCTGAGCCTAACCTCATGTAGCAGAGCCAGTGGGAGCTCCGGGGCTGCGCTGCGGAGGTGACAGCGTGTCCAGGTGGGAGAAACTGCTAGCACCTGTTTCTGCAGGGCGGGGACTGGCGTGCACTCCTTTTCTACTGCTGTGTAAGAGACTGCAACAAAAGTCAGCAGATGAGAAAAACGTAGGTGTAGAATCCTCCATTTCCGGGGACTCTCCAAGTGTGGATTAACTGGGCTCCCCGTGAGGGAACCCCCAGGCAGCCACCAAGGCATCAGCAGGGTCTCTGGTCTCCTGTGATCCTCAGAGCTTCTTCTAGGCTGTGAGGTTCTTGGCACATTTCAGCCTCAGTGGTGGTGGGACTGAGACACCATCCTTAGGCCCTGGCCTCTGACCCCTCCATTTTCTTCTCCCACTTCCAGCGTTGGATTCCCGCCTCTGGCCTGGGGTCCAGGTGTACAGGAGTCCTGTGGCTCCGTAGGGCCACCAGCTACTCGTCCTGCTTATTGGTCCACAGTCTACTGTGGTCACCCCCATCACATGGGGGCTGCTCCCGATGTGCTCACAACCCTCATCTCCCTGATGAGGCTCAAGGGATGTGCCAGGGCTGGGAGGTGGGGGCCCCCAGATGCCACGGGCTGGAACTTGTCCTCCCAAGAGATAGTGTCTGGGCAAACTAATCAGTGCCCCTTCCTTCTAAAACTGCTGTAAACAAATCCATGCCACTGAGGGCTGGGATGATTTAGAACCTGTCCCTTAAAGAAATAAATACCAGCCATGCATCTCCAGAGATTCCTATGACCCACGAAAAGTGTGGGCATCCCCTGGTTGCTGTTAGACTTGGACGCCATGGGTGGTGTGTTGTTCTGAGTCTTCTCCAGGCAAGGGGAGGGCTCAGTGTCTTGTGCTCCCTGAACTGGTCCACAGTGACCTGAGGAAATAGAAGGCAGGCCACCCCCGACTGCTCAGAAAGGCCAGTGTCCTAGTCAGTGGGTGAATTCCGTCTTCTCTGCAGTCCACTTCCTGTGCCCACTGTGTGAGCACGTGGGCATGCGTGCCTGTGGGTGAATCCCCTGGCCTCAACTACACCTACCTTCCTTGTCTGCACTGTGGGGAAGCCCTGGGGCTTCCCCACACAGCCCCCGCCCTGGGGGTGGAAAGATCAGGTGTCGCTCAGAGCGACCAAACAAAGCACCACAGACTGGGTGGCTGCATCCACAGACCTTATTGTCTGTCTGTTCTGGTGGCTGGAAGTCCAAGATGGAGGCATGGACGGGATGGCTTTCTGTGAGGCCCCTCTCCTGGGCTGCTGGGTGGCCGTCTGCTCACCGTGAGGTCACAGAGGCTTTCTTCTGTGTGTCTGCATCTCTGGGGCCTCCCTTCTTCGACTGAGGACTCCAGACACATGGGTCAGTCCCCTCCCTATGACTTTCAACTTAACTTCTTGAAAATACCCGCTTCCAAATACATTTGCTAGGGGGGAAATAGATATAGTGTCCCCATAAAGGGAGGGCTGTTGTATATAATGTGCGTGCTATGTGTAATGTGACATCTGTAGATATGCCTGTACTTTATATAGCACATATAATGTTCTTTATATGAATCAAACAAGAGGAAGCAGGCAGGGACATTGCGGGATCATTGTGGGGTCAGACGTTGGGCTGGATGCACCAGTGGGAACTTGTGGGTAGGACTTTGGGTTTTACTAAGGAACCTTTGGTCTATTGAGGTGACGAAGAGATTCCATTTCACTGTTTTTTTCGTGCAATGATTCCTGAGTCTGGGTTTGCAAGGTCTCGGGAGGAATTCTGTCTGGAGCTGTTCTGCTGAAGCCTGGCCCCTTCCAGCTTCCCAGAGCCTGCTCTACACAGCCCACACATCCTCACCCCGGACTGTCACTGAGGTCTCCTCACTACTTTCAGGCACATGAGGAGCTACGGGGGTGTGGGGGTGGTTAGGGGCCCTGGGGGAGTCTCATTCAAGGCTCAAATGACTCTAGTAAAGCTACTTTTTTAAAAATGTGCTCCAGTGGAGTAGACAAGCTAATTTAAGATTACAAAGCAGATGGAAACTGACTTTATTTTTAATGAACCCTATAAATGGAATGTAGTTAAGATAAACTGAACACAGCACTTCACCCTCCCCCCCCTCTGCTCCTCCTCCTCCTCCTCCTCATAGGTTCCCTCTATCCCTCCTGAGTGAAGTGTATCCCCCAGTTCCCATCACTGTAACTTCTGAGTGTATGCTGCCCCCTTCTTGACTAAAGGTGACTTCAATTTTGGAAAGTTCTGGAAGGCAACTGGCTCTTTTAATTACTTTGTGTTTTCTGTAGGAACTCAACAAATGACCATGATAAGAGGGACAGATTAAGGACTCAAGATGAAAGACCAATGCTTTCCATGATGTAAAATCAAGGGTTGACCTTTGGAAAAGAACAAGAATCATGGTTAAAGGTTGTTTTCATCTATCAGATGTCAAGGCTGTCTGTCTCTCCGCTGGGAAGAGGTCAGACTGTGGCAGCAAGCAAGCAGGATGACTGGTGATAAAGAGCTGCTTCTGTGTCTTATCACAGAGCCACGCCTAGTGGGCCTTCTCTCAGCTGGAGAAACAGCACTGAGCGCGCCTGGTGTTGGAGGGGGCTTGCGTTGGTCAGGGGAAGTGCGTTCCCTGGATCACGTGGGGTCTTGGTTCCATAATCCCTATCTGGATGTGTGGTCTTGTCTTGCCTTTATTTATCTTTGTCTTTGTTGACTATATAGCAGCCAAACTATACCTTTTGATTCTTGGTTTGATAGATCTTGAATTTGAGGAATTTAAAAAAAATAAAAGATGAATTTGAAAGGTGTACTTTATTCCTCATATGAAATTTGCTGTGGGGTCCCGCAAAGCCAAGGCATGGATTAAATAGGGGCATCAAAATTTGGGGATGACTTCAAATTCTAGCTCCTCAGGGTCTCCATACTTGTCACCCAAGTCCAGGAGTGAGATAGTGTGGTTAACATAGCCCATCTCAAGATCCCACCTTGCTGCCCCAATCCTGACTCTCCGGGCACTCACAGAGAGCAGCAACATAAGAAAGTGGTGGACAAAGTGAAATGTGTCTGGTGCTTTTCCCATCAAAGATATCATCCAGAGGAGGTCCTGAGATTTCCTTTTATAGCCTCATGTTGAGCATGTTCCTCTGCTTATCTAAAAATGCAGAACATGGCCTTCCATATGAAAAATGCACTCTGTAGGATTAATGAGACTACTTTTCCAAGTAAAAAGAAAATCTGGAGAAAGTTGCAAATAATGTTTTCATTGAACTATTAGTAGTAACTAACAAGTGTTGACAGGTGACTATGTTAAGCTTTATTCTGGCAAGTAATATGTGTATCGACTTCATCACCCTCCTCACAGCTTTCCTAAGCTTTATTGAGATGTAAAACTGCATAAATTTAAGGTATGCAATATGATGATTTGATGTATATTTAAGGTAAAATGAAGGACCATCACAACAAAGCTTGTCCCCGTATGTAACCACCATTACTTTATGGTGGTGAGAACATTTAAGAATGAGGTGGAAAGAAAACATCTGTTATCTCTGTTTTACAGCTGAGGACAGTGAGAACAGCAGCAGAGAGGTTTAACTGTGGTGGAGCAGTGTGTCATATTCAGAACACACAATCCTCAGCTATCAAGTGACCCCCTAACTTGACGCCTTTTAAGCTCACTTTTCCATGGTTTAAAGTGTCCCAGTGATGGTACATTTGTGTTAAAATACACATAACTTAAAATTTACCATTCTGTACTTTTTTATTTGTGATAAGATAGCCACAGAATTTGGTCTTGTCACCACTTTTAAGTGTATAGTTCCCCAGCATTATGTACATTCACAGTCTGTGCAAGTATCCCCAGTATTTCAAAAAACAAATCTATCATCCTTAACAAAACTCCACACCATTAAACAGTAACTCCCTGCCCCTCCTACACCCTCAGCATCAGGTAAACACCATTCTCCTTTCCCTCTCTATGATGTTGTCTATTCTAGGAACCCTACAAGAGTGCAATCATACATTATTTGTCCTTTTGTGTTTGATGGATTTCAAGTAGTTCAATTACAAGTTTCATCTAGGTTGCAGCATGAATCTGAAGTTCCTTCCTTTTCCTGGCTGAGTAATATTTCATCCTGTGTATAGGTCACATTTTGCTTATCTGCCCATCTCTGGGTGAGTATGAGTTGTTTCCACATCTTGGCTGTTGTGAATGATGTTGCTGTGGCCATCAGTGCACAACATCAGTTCAGTGCCCTGCTTTTCACTCCTCTGGGTGTTCACTTAGGAGTAGACATTTAAACGACCTTAAAGCAAACAGAGACGGTACTCGCAGAATGCCAAATATCACACTGTCTAGTTCTGGCACATTTTAATCATCCCAACTTGAAACCTATCTCGTTGAACACTTTCTCCCCATGTCCTCTCTCCCTAGCACCTAGAAACCACTAAGTTGCTTTCCATCTGCATGGATTTGCCTATTCTGGATCTCAAATACATGTGGAGTTATACCATGTGTTGCTTTTATGAATATTCTGTTCCAAACACTTTCGTTGTGGAAATGTCCAACTTTCTGGAAGTGAAAAGAAATGTTTGTGAACCCCACACGTCCATCCCCCAGGATGGACAACCTCCTGCCAGTCTCGTTAATCCCTGTCTCTTTACCAGGGACCAAAAACAGTATGTGAACCGATTCTGGAAGGAAATCCGCGTGGGAGACTTTGTGCGTCTTCGCTGTAATGAGATCATCCCTGCGGACATCCTGCTGCTCTCCTCCAGCGAGCCCGACGGCCTGTGCCACATCGAGACAGCCAACCTGGACGGAGAGACCAACCTGAAGCGGCGGCGGGTGGTTCGAGGCTTCTCGGAGCTGGTAAGTGTCAGAAGCCCACTTTGCATGCTCACCTGAGTGTCGTCCTGCTCCGGCCACTTTGCCTAGTGGACAGGCGTGGGACTGAGGGTCTGAGAGGACCCCGACCTGCTCCAGTCCGTGGCCCGCCGGCAACTCTGTTTTTGTGACTGACATGTGAGTGCCTCATCCCCGCCTTCGAAGCCCCGTTCACGTTGCAGGAATTGTGAGCAGCTGAGGAGTGACATTTGCCAAGCTGCTCCTCCAGCTCAGTAAATGGCAACAGAGCAGAAGTAATGGCCTGTTCCCAGAGTGAAGCTCAAGAACATTTTCTCCTCAAATGTGTCTCTGAGTTCAGCGCCAGGTCTTCTGGAACTGAATTCTGCCTTTGACAAGCATCAGCTCAGAAAGGCGCCGTGGGGACTGACAAGGAAGGAAAGCGGGGTCTGGCCACCTGCAATCACAGCTGCCTGCACCCAGGAAACCAAGCCCTGTCAGGTCGTCCGAACCCCTAAACACCCTCCAGGGCTACGTAGAGGGCGCGGGGTGCAAACTGCAGGGGAAGTTCCAGTAGATGAGCCGCTAGGGACCAGGAAGTGTCTGGGAGGGAAGTGGGGCACCTGAGCCTTGTGCTCCTCACCCCTGCTCTGCCCCCCACCCCACACACACACCATTTCCGTCAGGCTTGAGAATCCTACCTTGGACTACACTGAGGAAGCTTTAGGAAGCCAAGAGAATGAATCCTGTGTTGTAGGAGAGACACCTTTGGGGTGTCTCTTTCCCATGTCACCCCCTCTCTGTAGGGTGCCTGTGTGAAGTATATGGAGTTGAGCCCTAATTCAGTCAAAATTATTAGTTGACCCCAATTAACAAAAAAAAAAAAAGATGATTTTAAAGAGGTTTCTTGATCAGGGCCCTGATTTCTCAGTATGCATGCACATTCTAATCCCCGTAGATATTTTATCATTTCTTTTTTCCTCTTTCCTTAAATGCTCAAAGACGTTGGTGGGGAGGGAGTTACCTGAATTCATAGTCATATGTTATTACTCTGAAGTCTAGAACAAGCCCGTGGAAAAGAAAGATAGGAAGTCTGATTTTTAAACCCCTCTGCCTGGAAAAATCGAGTTCTCACTGCAGCGGGTGATAATGCTAAGACTATTCCTCCATATTGGGTGGGGTTTTCAGCTGACTCCTTCCAGGACCCAGTGGTCTGTTGCCAGTTGGAACAGTGATGGCCACTAGGAAAGTCAAAATAGAAGTGTTCTGCAGAGACAAACTGAGGGGCTGGGTACATCCACTGGGGTCTGGTGAGGTGGCAGAACCCAGGATTCCTGAGCCAGTCTGGTGGAAAGCCTGGGGTGGGGTGATAAGTCAAGCAGACCACAAGGAACTCAGGTGTGGCTCATATAAGGAGCCACGTGCCCACTGGCTGGGACGGAGGCAGCACCCGGGGAGGACCCCTAGGCTCAGTCTCGTTTCTCCCATGGGAGCCAGGGTGGCAGAAAAGCTGCTGGAGTGCTGTACCAGCAAGAGGTTGGCCCTGGGGACGAGGGACCCATCACAGGAAGCTCTGAGCCAGGCTGGGGGACTGGTGAGATGCCAGTCAGGGATAGGCGCCAGTCCCTGGGGGCTAGGGATGCCACAAGGCAAGGGGCATTGTAAGAGGGGCCTCTGCACTGCAGTGGCCAGTGGTGACTCTTAGACTGCTGACCCACAGTCCTGACCTGCACGAACAAGGGACCAAGGAGAGAATGCAGGAGGTAGCATGTGCGTCCGTGGCCACAGGCCTCACTGTCAGGGCCTCTGGTTACCCTGAGCTGAGAGTTGGGGAGAGCATGTTGCAGGCTGAGTGAGGCCTGAAGAAAACTGCCTGCAGCTCCTGTCCTGGAGCAACCCGGAGAGACTGCACACAGCCCTCCCTGCAGGCCAGCCCCTGCCCTGAAGCAGCCCACCAGCACCCTCTGCTGACAAGGCAGAAATGTAACTCATCACCCTCTCCACTTGCCAAATAATTTAGGCAAATGATTTGCTTGTGGGGAAGGATACCATGAAGGAGGGGCAGGGTCCGGGAGCAGCCGCAGTGGGACCAGTGCCTCAGGGACTCTGTGTGCTCACCAGTGCATGCCAGTGCTGATCAGCCACAGGAATCCTGGGATCTCCTTTGAGAGGGCTGGGTTGGAAAGAGGCCCTCTAAGAGACCAAATGGAGGCTTCTGGAAAGGATATGGAGGCCGAGGCTAGGACGGTGAGGGTCTGCGTGCCAGGGTTGTAGGCACCTTTAGAAGGTGTCTCGGGGCAGAGATAAGGCTGCCTTTATGAGTAGCTCTGGACGAACTGTTCAGCACTGGGGGCTCACAGCAGAGTGATGGCAAATGTGGTCCCCCAGGCCCCTGACCAGGACAAGCTTCTCAGATACAGGACCATAAACCACTCAGCCATCTGGTCTCTGGTAAAGGAAACTTAAATGTTGGAACTTGGAAATAGACATTTGATTGATTAAAAAGTTGGAGTCCAGTTGCCCTTAACCAGGAGGAGAAAACAGAGGGTCCCCAATGCTGTCCAAGAAGCTCTAGTTCGTCGTTTCTGGGTGCCGGGCCTTCTCATCCTTCTAAAATCTATGGAAGTGCAAAAGGTTTGAAGTAGCGTTACATATTTTCTAATATAAATCTTGTGAATGATGATTATTGCACTCTTGTTAGCAAGAAGGAAAAAAACAAGTGAAAATATTCCCCGCAAACGCCCCTTCTCCAGGCCAAATCAAGGGAATCAGGGCCCAAGGCTGGGCTCTGTGCCCTCCAGGGGCATGGAGGGGCCTGGGTCTCCAGCACCAGGACTCCCCTCCTGCCCTGGCTGAGGGTTTTACACACACAGGTCACGGCCCTGGACACGAGCTGTCCATGGGCAGCTGCCTACTAGCTCGGCTGCGATATTTAATCAGCTACATCTGCAGAATTACAAACTCTAGACTGCTACTGTTTTAAAACTTTTTTTTCCTCAGAAACTTTGTTTTTTATAACTTTTCATTCTTTCAACAAATACTTTTCGAGCACCATTATGCTTTAAATGCCAGTCGAGGCACTACATTGATCCAAACTGGCAAGCAGCTTGCCCACCTGTGCTTGTGTGACCTGTGTGAGTAAGAAAAGTGGGTGGGTGGTGCAGCAGCGATGCATGAGCCTGTGTGTGTGTGTGTGTGTGTGTGTGCACGCTGAGGGATCAATAATAAAAGCAGCAGCCAAGACAGGTGGGCCGTGTAATTTCAGGTGGGGATGGGGCTAGGCAGGTCTCCTGGAAAACTGCTGGAGTGCCCAAACTCCATGCCATGTTGGCAGGGGCACTGTCCGGGAGGTGACTTCTGTGTTGGTTAATTCACTGTGAAATGTGTTTCACCAGTTTGTCTCTTAGCTGGACCCATAGAATTGTTGCCCCAACCCCAACTACACCTCTGGGGCCATCTGCTTCAAGGTGTTTGCAGTGGTGCTTGTGAAATTTGCAAGAATTGCTGAAAGTACATAAGAACCATTGTGTGTGTGTGTGTGGGTGGGTGGGTGGGTGCAGACGGGCTTGCCCAGCTGAGGAAGGAGAGTGAAGCTAGAATGGACCACCTCTCCCAGGCCGGAAAGTGTGAGGGAAGCTGCTCTAGAGAAGGGCTGGTGCTCAGACCCCCGATCCTAAGCTACCATGTGGCTTCCCCTCCACTTCGCTCAGATCTTTACGAAGCTCACAGCAGCCTGAGGTTCCAGAGGGACAGTGACATCGTTTCCTGTGCCCTGTTAATCGCCAGAATTCAAGGGGCTTAGAACACACTTCACAGTACTAAATATGTGAGAGACAAAATTATTATTGTTTTGTGTTGACTTGTGTGTGCTCCTAAATTATCAGGAAAACTAGAGGTAAGGAAGCATGGTTGCCAGGTAGGCCTTGCACTAAAGCCCCTTTTTCTTTAAGCTCTTTGGGTTGTTATTCTTTAATTAAATTAGTTACATTCTCTGCTGTGGAACTGAAGGAGAAAACCCATCTATCATCCAAGTGGAAACTAAGACAGCTGGCTGGGTGTGTTGACTGGAATTGGATCAGTCGCTATCAAGCCTTTGCAAGATTCCTGGATTTCTTTTACATGCTGAAGGATAATCACTAGGCTCATACTTTATGCCACGGGGCACTCTTCCTTCTTAAATTTAACATCTCATGCTTTTCTCAGAGGATGTCACATACGTAACAGGAAAGACTATGAGAAAGAAAGGTATTTTGAGAACACAATGACTCAATTTAGAGTAAAATTTTAATTCCAGCAAGTCTGGCAATTCACAGCAATTCGATTAGGTAGGTAATATAATTATGTGTGAAATACCATGTTTTGTTATTTCCACTGTGTTCATTTCATGTAAATTTGGTTGTATAATAAGATTTGATTTTGTTTCTAGTTCTGGCGACTGGGAACAGATGCTTTACCTGGAACCTTACATTCAATCATCTTAGAGAGATAAGCACTTGATCTCAATGTAAACAACTAAATGCTGTGAAGTTGATATTGGGCTAAACTGAAGTATCCACCCAAAATAGTCTTATCTCAGTATATGGAAACTTGAAAATCCTCTGCTTGCCTGCAATCTCCTATGGGGTTGGAAGTGGTCATTCTTTATTCTAAGAAAATAGACAACCAAAGCAAGAGAGGTTCTTCTTTTTTTTTGGTGACATACACCAAAAAAAAAAAATGTTATTTTTCTCTCTGTATTTTCATGGTTAAAAAAAAAAAAGAGGGGGGATTTAATAAAAATTTCAACTTTCCTAATTGTGGTTGAATCTTCTTGGTAATTGCAGAAAGACTCGGTTACATATGTGTGTCTATGTTTCTGGCTTTGCTGTTTCCTGACTGTAGGAAGAGCCGGTGGCGTGAGACAGGTCTAACTGACACTACACGCGTCCTCATGGCTGGGTGTGTGTATGGTGTGTCTGTTCACGTGGTGTCTAAGTGTGTATAGGAAGGGTGAGTGAGAAGCAAAGTGAAGTAAGCATGCTTCATTA